TACCCTGAAACTCATTAGTTAAAACACCTGTATCTTCTTAATCACTTAAGTTCCTGAAGCACAGAGATATGAAGTTACATAGTGGTGACTTAACCTAACCTTGCCTAACCTAACCTAACCTAACCTAATGAAACACCCACAACCTTGCACAACCATCGTGATTGGAGTGGGTCACCTCCGTACGCCGACTCACTAACTCGTTGACAAAGATAACAAGATTAGATACCTTCCCTGATGGTGATGGTCCGTCCACCTGGCGCCACGTGTAGTAATTAACGAAACAGGTTCATCACTCTTTACCCATAATTAATTTAATCTCAAGTTGTTATATTAAGGATCGTGATGCAGTGAAGTTTTAATAAGTCATTAATGTTTGTTAGAAAATTATAATAATGCAGATTACTTGAAGAGTGTCTCCCCCACCCCCCCTCTTCTCTCTCCTCCACCTTCCCCCTACCTTCCCCCTCCTCCCCCTACCTTCCCCCTCCTCCTCCTAGTCTGGTTCACCTGATGGTTTGTCCCTCAGATTATTTTACCTGAATGTTAATTATCCTAATGTTACCTTGGGGGTGAATTAGGGTATTTTTGGTTAGGTTTGGTTAGTATTAGGTTATGTTAGGTTAGGTTAGGTTAGGGTAGCATTAGCCTGGTTGGTTAGTCTCAAGGTGAAATAAGGCCACAAAAAATTATATATAAGGATCGATCTGTTGCTGAATCACACACACACACACACACACACACACACACACTTCAGGTAATCACTGTACAGGAAGTCATTGATGGTTTACCTGGTAGTTTAAGTTAAGCGGCCACAACACGCTCCCCGATAGCAGTGTTCGGCCTCCTGCAACCGACTTCGACCTAGGCTTCCTTACACCACCATTACTCCTACGATAAAAAAATAATTCACACCTAATTAACTTTTTGTTTTGATGTTTGTAAGTAAATAAGATAATGAGGTATATGGCAGTTAGTTACCATCAGTTTCTAGGTGTTTGTGTAGATGAGGTTAGCCAATCAGCCGAACAGAGACACCATCAACTTATCTCTGTATCTTCGGTAAGGTTAACAGATTACTGAGGCCAGGGTTGAGGTACAGAGCGGCCCGTCCGTCTCGTCTCATCTGTCAGTCGCTCAGTCAGCGGTCAGTTGGATAGTGCGGGACGTTACGAGCTTAAAGTAAGGTTAACCGCTGGTGATGTGCGGTTGTTGAGTTGATATTACCAAGTGTCCGTCCTGAGCCTTGATGATTATAGTGAAGATGTTTGTGTGTGGAAGGTGAGTGAATAACCTTCATTATTATACAAGACATTAATGAGATATAAAGAAACATAAATAATATCTAACATAATATTATCCTAACCAAGACAGAGTGTTACCTAAAAGTGTAATTAACTCTCAGGTAAGAAGTTAATAAGACTGTAACTTATTAATTTACCTGTCACCGTAGTAGACTGTGTCCACTAACACCTTCACTACGGCGCCGCCACTCACACGAGTTTATTCAGCGCAGTGTTAAGTTAATAATAAAAAAAGAAAAAAAAATTGAAAAAAAAAATATTATTGTCTCAACTGAAAAATAACAAAATCGTTCATTAGAGTGATCATAGTGTTGTGTGTTGAACTCACCCCAAGTTCTGTGATTTGTCGTGAGCTGAGACGACACAAAGATCTGTTGTGGTGTGTGTGAACCAAGACGACCTGAAGATGCTCGGTAGTGTGGTGGTGTGCTGAGGACGACACCTTCGTCATGACCAGCCCCTACCAGCTGGCACTTCTGGGTCAGTAACTCTTCATATACGTACCTCTATTAATAAAAGCGTGTGTCTGTTCCCGCCTCAGGTACAAAACAGAAGTGAGAGATATGTGAAACTTGACCCATACAGTATATTACACGGGCCCCAAGGATGAGCCACGGACCCTCGGGTGGTTAGGTTGGTTAAATTGGTTAGTCTTGATCAGGTTTGGTTAGGTTGTGGTGGGTTACCCGTGTCAGGAAGAGCAAATTGTGAAAATTAGGGTTACGCAGTATACTGTACACCTAACCCGAGAGGCTGGCCGCGGTGGTCAGGACACACAAGCAGCTGTGAAGATGAATGTCGTGTTGAGTGAACCTGGCGGGACGTGTGCAAGATGTGTGTGTGTGTGTGTGATCGTATTGTTACTACTTGTTATGTTATCCTTATCACCCTCACCTTGAAGAGCTTTAGTATTATTATTATACAAACACCAGTATGCAGATATACTCCATGATTTATGACAACACAACACAACACAACACAACACACAGACTTGTTGATAAAAGGTGAGAGTTTTACGTCACTTGACCAACACCATCACAGAAGTCACGTAACTAACTAATATTCAAAATGGGAGACAAAATACATCTCTAAGACCAACGAAACAAAATTAAAATATTATTAACTTTGTCATATAGTTTTATCAAAAGTTTTAGGTTTTAATTTTGTTGTTGTTATGGTCATGTATCAGAGTTTATCGTTCTTGTGAGTCCTGAACAAACACTCCAAGTTGAGCCCGCCAGCTGACGTCACCGTCCTGCGCACACTGGATACATATTGTCTCTTTGTTGACATTACGCATTTGAGGGGAAAAATTTTCCTAGTTTATGCATAAGATTTATACTGTCCTCCTCCTCCTTCTCCTTGGTAAATATTTTGGGTATCTTTCTGTCTGTCCACGTGTACAGTATAGTCGTCATTCAGTCGGTCTGTTTGACTGTATCTCTGTGTATGTTTATACTCGTCTATTTATGTATATATATATACACTGGGCATATATCTGCAATATGTATATAGTATCTTATCTCTCTCTCTCTCTCTCTCTCTCTCTCTCTCTCTCTCTCTATATATATATATATATATATATATATATATATATATATATATATATATATATATATATATATATATACATATATATATTTCATGTAAATCCACAATGAAAACGTGGATAAGATAAATCTTGATAAAATCACACGGGAAAATGGAAACAACGGAGTACCTGGGCTTTCGTCTTTATTCAAGACATCTTCAGAGGCAACTGGATTACAGGTCACCCTGTATATTTAAGCCTCTCTCTGTCCATGTAATCCAGTTGCCTCTGAAGATGTCTTGAATAAAGACGAAAGCCCAGGTACTCCGTTGTTTCCATTTTCCCGTGTGATTTTATCAAGATTTATCTTATCCACGTTTTCATTGTGGATTTACATGAAATATATATATATATATATATATATATTGATCTACCTATATATTTATCTTCCTGTATATTTACTTGAAGAGAACCTGTACATGTATACACCTGTACATATACCTGCAAAATTACCTGTACAGTCGCTAAGAAAAGTCCATGGACACAATAATGCATCAGTCTACGGCTTCGGGTTAACGAGTCTGAATCTCTCTGGGTTCATGAAGCAACAAGGAGACAGGACTTTTCTTAGTGACTGTATAGGTATCTACACCTGTATATGTGCTGTACCTGCAAGAGTACCTGTACCTGTAATTAGTATGTACCTGGTGTGTAGACAGGTGAGGTGCGGCGCTCATTTACACGGTGAGGAATATTATGTTACAGTGTGTGTTGCTACGGGACATTACCACTCATTTTACCACCCCCCCCTCCCCCTCCCCTCCCTTCCTCAGTGTAGGGGAGGGAGAGGGAAGGCGGGATAGGGAGGAAGATGATGCAGGGGAGGGGAAGGGGGAAGAAGAAATAGAGCAAGAAAATTCGGAGTCTGCAATAGGCCGGTTGGCCTGTGCATGGCAGCTCCTGTCGAGAGTTACTACCACTCTCTATCATCCATGAATCTATCGAGCCTCCTTTTAAAACTTTCCAGCGTTCCAGCACTTACTACAAAGTTGCTAAGCTTGTTCCACTCGTCCACCACCCTATTTGTGAACCAGTTTCTTCCTATCTCCCTCCTAAACCTAAACTTATCCAACTTGAATCCGTTGTTCCGAGTCCTATCCTGCTCGGATATTATAAGAACTTTATCTATATCTCCTTTATTGATTCCTTTCACCCATTTAAATACTTCTATCATATCTCCCCGCATTCTTCGTCTTTCTAGGGAATGCAAGTTCAGTTTCTTTAACCTATCTTGATATGGAAGGTTTCTAAGTCCCGGAATCATTTTTGTCATTCTTCGCTGCACCGACTCCAGTGAATTGATATCCATTCTATAATAGGGGCACCAGAACTGAACTGCATAATAGAGGTGCGGCCTGACTAGCGCAAGATATAGTTGCAATAAGACCTCTGCACTCTTATTACTTACACTTCTAGATATAAAACCAAATACTCTGTTTGCCTTATTTCGAACATTAACGCACTGTTTTCTAGGCCGTAGGTCCGGGCTTACAAGTTCCCCTAGGTCTCTTTCACAAGTCGACTTCTCTAGGTTGATGTTGTTAAGGCTGTATACATTAGGGACAGAGGGACAGGGAGGAAGGGGAGAGGGGGAAGTAGGTTAGTTAGCGGATCAAAAAAGAGGAAGAAAACGAGGAGTTGTGGGAAGACACGTGTAGTCGTAGTGTCGTGAGCAACGTTTGGTGTTGACACGAAGCACCGTGCATGATAATAATAATAATAATAATCAACGGTTTATTGAAAAAATTCTGCAGCCCGAAGGCTGAAAATATACATTGGACATAAATGACTTATTACATACATTGGTGGTTTAACAAAAGCCTTTATTAGAGAAAGGTAAAGGAACATACAGTGAACATACAGATTAATGTAGGTGTTGAACAGCAAACTCGTAGTGTAGTAACAAGTGTGTGTGTGTGTGAAGCGAGCTGGTGACTAGTGCTGCCCAAGAGAGAGAGAGAGAGAATAATCCCAAATAAGAAGTATAATAGAATTGAATTGAAACAGTTTATTTAGCCAGAAAAATCAGATACAGAGTGGATAATAATAACAATATTAACATGGCTGAGTCAGTTGAGAACCTGAGCTCTCTTTGAGAGCGAGAACCGACGACCGCGACAATGGGAGTTTGTTTACACAGTACAGATGTATGGATGAGGTTGTTGTCTAAACGAGGCAAATAACTCTGGTGTCGAGTATCAGAACAACAACAGTAGTCAACATTAGTAGTCATAACAGCGTCTCAAGTCAGGATGTTGGCTGGTGACGCAACCTGTGGAAGGCGACGGAAAATAAAAAAATACTCATCTGGGTCACTTGGCGGGGGGAATACGACCCCCCGCCGTCAGTGCTGGACTTGGTTTCTGACAGTCAGTCTCACCCAGGCAGTCTGTCGGTCAGTAGAGTCCCTGACATTGACCGCGAAACTTTGACTTTATCGAGTGGGACCTCTACTGTACCGTGCTGTAGTCTCCTGTACCATACTGTACCGTGCTGTAGTCTCCTGTACCATACTGTACTGTGCTGTAGTCTCCTGTACCATACTGTACCGTGCTGTAGTCTCCTGTACCATATTATACCATACTGTACCATCCTCCTTATCCGTGCACCTTCTCTGTAGACGATATACCGTCAGTGGTCCAATATAGTGTACCGTTACAGTATTGTGTAGTGTACCGGTACAGTGTTATATAGCATAGTATACCGGTAGCGTTGTGTAGTGTACCGGTACAGTTATATAGCATAGCATACCGGTAGCGTTGTGTAGTGTACCGGTGCAGTTATATAGCATAGTATACTGGTAGAGTTGTGTAGTGTACCGGTACAGTGTTGTGTAGTGTACCGGTACACGTGTCCCCTTGAGTCTCGTAATACAGTGTACCAACAACAACAACATCATGATCTCCCTAACAACAACACCCACCCCAGGTACTGTATAGTATTGTATTAATGTATGACACACACACACACACGCACACACACACACACACACACACACGCACACACACACACACACACACACACACACACACACACACACACACACACACACACACACACACACACACACACACACACACACACAGAACTGGTCATAGATTAAACTAGTAAACCGGACCTACAACTGACACTACCCTTGTAAACCGGACCTACAACTGACACTACCCTTGTAAACCGGACCTACAACTGACACTACCCTTGTAAACCGGACACCTAAGTTAGTCTGTATATGGGAAAGGTTTCACGAATGACGTCACAATATTACAACGGAAATTACATCAGCAAATACCAACATTTAGGCAGTCGTAGTGGGGAATACTGGGTGGCCGATAACAGAGGGATGATGATGATAATGAAGAAGACTTAGAGGAAGGGAAGAAGAGGAGACGAAGAAGAAGAAAGGAGAAGTAGAAGAGGAAGCGGAGGGGAGAAATATTCACACAATCGTTTCAATTCACAAATTCTTCACGGATGATAAAGACCAAATCACTCCTATTGTAGCTCCTGGATAAACCCCGACGGAGAGAGAGAAGCCCCGACGGAGAGAGAGAGAAGCCCCGACGGAAAGAGAGAGAAAAACCCCGACGGAGAGAGAGGGACAGAAGCCCCGACGGGGAGAGAGGGACAGAAGCCCCGACGGAGAGAAAGAGAGAGAGAAGCCCCGACGGAGAGAAAGAGAGAGAGAAGCCCCGACGGAGAGAAAGAGAGAGAGAAGCCCCGTCGGAGAGAGAGAGAGAAAAATGAAGAAACCAAGATAACTCACTTACCTCACATAGTCCCTTCTAGCTCTCACACACACCCTTGAGAATCAGTGTTGCCATATCCTCGTGATAATGAATCATAAAAAAATCTAAAAATAAAAATCTTAATTTATCACCTTCCATTCAAATTAAATTGAAATATCGATGAAACATTAACATCAAATAAAAACCAAAAATAAAATAAATAAAATCACTATAAATCATATATAAAATAAGAAAATAAAACCCTACATGGCATCGTTGAGGCTGTGTTTACGTTTTCCAAGCGGACCAATATGGTGGAGTCACATGTCATGGCTGAAAGACGAAAGGGAAAAGGTGAGGTCATATGTCATGGCACAGGAGGAAAAGAAGGAAGGGACGTAGGTAGGTAGTAAGGGAGGTGAAGGGGAAGGGTGACGTAGTAAGGGAGGTTATTTCTCGAACAGGACAGCATTTGGTGGGTTATAGTCACCCTGAAAGTTGATGCCTTGGTCTTCACTTGCAGGGGGATGTTTTTCCTTCAGTTGATTTAATGTCTCTGTTTATTGGCAGAACACCATCGGAGGATTCCTCTGTGAGAGATCTTACCTTTTAAGACACTTTTCCCACACACATTTTGTTTCCAAACTTTCTTGCAACGTCATCGGTGATTTGCTTTCCGTCTCCTATAAATTTTAGTCTCTCCTGCAGTGTTCTTGCTTCACATAGGAGATCATCAAGGGCCCCTTCTGCCTCAGTGTCAGTCTTCTCTTCTTTGCTGCCGCATTTTCTTTGTGCTTTGTCTTTGTGTATGTCCTCTGACAGAATAGATGAGGTATTATTGCCACAGTATTTGAAGAGCTAAAGGGGCAAGGAAGCGGTCCTGAGTGTACTCGGTTATGAGGCGAGTCATCTCCCGAATCATTTCTTTGGTGGCCGCACACTTGGGTGGTTCAAAAAGGTTAGCTGGCGACCACCTGACATATGACCACATTTTCCATTGACATGCCATTCCACTGTGGTGGCTGTCTGCCATTCACCTCGTGGACATCTGCTACTATTGGAGCAGCGTTTATTGGGACTACATTTTCAAGTTGAGTTGACTCACCGCTATCATTTAGGATATCAGATTTTTTTTTTTTACAGATTGCCCCGGAGGGGGCTAGTTTATTGGGCACCCCCTTGGATATCGTCTGGCGGTTGTGTCTGGGCGATATCCACTGTGGCCTCCTGTGTCGGCTCCCTGCCGCATGGATTCCGGCAATTGTTTCCCTTTCTGCAAACCACACATGGTCGGTTGTTTCTCGCACAATCACAGCTAGTGCAATTTTGGTTCTGGCTAGCACAGACTCAACAATGTCTGTTACCCGGCATAGTGTTCTGCACTTCGGGCGACAGTTACGTCCGCCTCCGACATCTGCTTTGGTCCCATACAGATGAAGAAACTAGCTTTTATGAGGAAAGGGCGGAGAGGTGACAGGCTGAACTGCTGTGTCCGGGTAGTAGGGGCATACGTGCGCGCGTGGGTGTAGGCCACCCCTGGGATGCTTATATATCTATGGCAGGAATAATCACTATATCTATGGTCGCACTGATGTAAGTTTAAACTCACGTGATCGGTTGGCACTGTATAGAGTGACCGTTACTTGGGGTGGGCGACAGCAGGCACAGAACAATTGGCCTTCTGTCACTGACCTCAGGGGCGGGAGTCGCGAGGCCGACCCAGTCAATGTAGGCCTATCCCACATTGGCACCACCAACCGCCCCACCAAGCACTCACAACTCACTTGGTGATCGCCGGTGGACACACGGAATATTTGCAATTAATGCCGTAAGGGATGAGAAGAACCTTCGGTGGCAATGCTTAGGGTGACATCCGATATTAACCGACACACTGTGAAATTCCCGCCCCCACACTCTGAATATGTCCTGTCCAACTACGCTTTAGATCAGGGAGGACACACACACACACACACACACACACCGCGCCTACTACTACTACTAATAATGCCCTTTATCATCTCGCCTTTCTCTTTCCCCTCCTCCTCCTCTTCTTCTCCCTTCAGCCTCCTCCTCCTCTTCCTCTTCTTCTCCCTTCAGCCTCCTCCTCCTTCACACCTGACCACCGTCTTTCACACCGTATTAGAGGGTGTGGCTAAGTGCATGACTCTCCCATGGTTCACACCTTGACTTTGAGAGTTGTGTTGTGGTGTCGAGCTGTTGTTGTTGTGGATGGATTATTATTATTATTATTATTATTATTATTATTATTATTATTATTATTAGTAGTAGTAGTAGTAGTAGTAGTAGTAGTAGTAGTAGTAGTAGTAGGAGAGCAAAGAAGAAGAAAAAAAGAGGAAGAGGAGACATTGTATTGACACAAGAACAACAGTATATCGGGGTTCACTGAGTGGTTCAAGGCTCAGCTTCAACTTACCTGTACCTACGACGGCTAATTATCCTCTGGTTAAGAACACACCTGACTACCTGTCTCTCTTTTAAGGCATGAGACACACACACACACACACACACACATACACACACACACACACACACACACACACACACAGATAGAAACAGGGAGAGATAGATAGATAAAATGATAGGTAGGTATAGATAGAGAGAGAGTGAGCGAAAGAGAGAGAGAGACTATATTACAACACAACAAATTCCTCTTTCGCACAGAACAGATAATAAATAGTTATCACATCTCACTGTAGCTACACGAGGCGCCGATCGGGTGTTGACTGTAAACACTTGTCAGCTGTTTTATGTTAACAAAAGGTGTATTATTACACTATTGTTTGAAGAATCAGTCAACACCTATAGTAGACTCACCGTGTGACGTAAGTAAGGACGAAGAATTAGTACTTGTTTATGACTATGTGTTAAGATGACTTTTTGTGAAGAGCTTCGAGTGTTTTGTTGACGAGTGGTGACTGTGGAACTGCGTCTTAAGTTTAACATAACCTAACCTGACCTGACCTGACCTAACCGAGGTAGTAGGCAGCTACCAAACAGGGAGGTACTGTACTACCGCCTGGGAAGATATCGGAACTATAATGTATTGTCTAATGGTGGATCCTGCTGCCATATGGCATCACAAAAATTGTGGCCAAGTCCCAGGTTGGTGACTGACTTTCTGCCTCATTTACACAAAATTACAGGGTCTCAATTGTTCTCTTACTTTGATAAGTGGATATGGTGGGTGGTTGCTTTCAATATGTTTCTAATTATTTTATTATATACATTTGCAGGCATGACAAGAGGGCAGGAGTCTGACGAAGACACAAACAAGCCCTTAGAACTACTGGAGGGTTACTACAGTTATATCAAAGTTACTCCTCTACAGTCCGTTTTCTCTTATGGCAACAGTACAGAGCCAGGTGAGTACAGCAGTGCCTCTTGTATTTATTATTATTTACTTTATTTACCTAATGGCCGCCCACTAGATGTGGCCATACCGAGGGAAGGAGGCCAATGGCCTGTGTAGGATCCACCATTTTTGATAGTTTTATCAAGGGTTACAGTACTGTACTGTTGTTGACTCCCACCGCTTGGGCTGCTAGACCGTTTCATAGGTCTACCAGCCTCTGTGTCAAGAAATATTTCCTTTTGTTCGTTGTGGATGATAACTTGTAGTTATGTCTCCTTGCATTTGCCATTCTTGAGACCATTTGAACAGCTCATGCAAGTCTTTCTGCATTGTTCCGACGTCGTCATGATATTATTACATGCCAGAGTTGACATGTAAACGATGTCATCTCTGGCCACACCCCACTATATACGGCGAGTTTAGTGAACGAGGCAGCTGCTGAGAATGGAGGGAGGTCGGAGTCACTACCAAGATCACAGACGTTACCGAGGACTGTTTCCGGCTTGAAAATCGTGTACAGTACACCCTCTCGTGACGGGGGAGCCAGCTTCGTTCATGGTGGATTTACCATTCATATCTCTTTCTCTCTCTCTATGTTTATTCATTATTCACAAGGAACTAGTAATAGAGAACTGCCATATGGATGATCTGGAGGAGAAATAAGGGAAGGAATGGCCTCTGGACGTCATTTCAAGGACTGGTCAGCGCAGCGCACGATGAAGGCGGTGGTGGTGGGCGGTCATACTGTAGGTTACTAACTCCGCGTCGTACTGAAATAAAAAGAAACTAGTCCGTCTCATCTTCAGTATTTTTTGCTGGTGTTCACCCGCGCGGGACCTTAAAACTCCCCGTTCATTCCTCCGCCTAGTAATGTTCACTTAGCCAATGACAGCCTAGAGTTATAGAATTAGCCAATGGAAATTAGCCTCGAGTTGAAAGGGGCGTTATTAGTGGATATATATATATATATATATATATATATATATATATATATATATATATATATATATATATATATATATATATATATATATATATATATATATATACAGAGAGAGAGAGAGAGAGAGAGAGACGTGAAATTCTTGTCGGCTTTGTAATTGGAGTTTTTGTCGGGATTTCGTGTGATAATTTTTTTATTTATTTATTTTAATTTTTAAGGTGAATTTTGAGTGTTTATTGTACTGCATCTCATCTCTCGTTGGTTAAAGAATCATCCAATCAGATTTCGCCGCCGTCGTTGAGTTTGTTGCATACCTGTTGCTTGTATATCCTAGTGTACTAGTGTACAGTATACCTGTATCTGTTACCTCTAAATGTCTATAACAACATGTAACCAGCCGCTGTTTATACCTGTTGCTTGAAAGAATGTATAACAACAGGGGGTCAGACCAGTAGGCATGGCCAGTGTGTTGTGGAACTAGTTTTTATAGCGGAGTTTCTCGGTCGTCCTCCGCCACTGCTGCCTAGTCATGCATAAAACACACACACACACACAGACACACACACACACACACACACACACACACAAGTGCATGATCACTCACACTCACCTCCCGCCATCACTGTCAATGCCATCACTTGCACGCACATACCTGGACGTGCTCCTACAAACGCACGAGAATGTAAACATGCTTGTATGTCGCCATGGACTTACGACACACACACTAATAAACCCAAATTCAGGTAGATAATTATATCAACACAGGTGTACTTAATTAGCTGCAGGTGTGTCGGGGAAGGTGCTACACATCAGCCATCACACCTGTAATACTCCTTCCCTTTACTCCTCACCTCTTACCTCACCCCTCGCCATCTCAGCCATGTTTGTCTACTTCCGGAAATTCCAGAAAAAGTTGAGCCATATAGAGCGACGAGCGTGCTGACACCCCGGTCAGCTGGTGCTACACGTGGCTCCCAGCTGGCTAGGGTGGTGGTGGCGAAGTGGGAAGTTAACCAGCTGTGTGTGAGAGAGAGAGAGAGACCCTGGGGGAGACACCACTCATTATTCTGTGACATTCTCAGTATCCTGACGACGCCCACCCAGGAGGAAGTTGTCGAAGTAATTCTTTAGACTACACAATATAGTGGCCTCCAGCCTCCCCCAATAGCCAAACCTTCGCCGCCATTTTATTACCTTAATATTAAATATCTTAATACAAAAGTAGCTATCCTAGCTGTGTTGAATTAGTTGAGCCGCAGATCTACTACTACTTTAACTACTGCTACTACTACTACTACTACTACTTTAACTACTGCTACTACTACCACTACTATAACTACTACTACTACTTTAACTACTGCTACTACAACTAAATTTTTTTCTTCTTTTTCTTCTAAAATTGGCCTCCAACCTCCCTTTATAGCCATACCTTCGCCACCTTTTTATTACCTTAAAGTTAAATACTTCTACTACTGTATATCAGTTGAGGGAAGGAACACATGTTTTTTTCCGTCAATTATTTATTTGTATTTTTCCAGCCATCTTCGATTTACAGTTAAGTCAAGCGAGCAACTGTATCATCATGTATCGAGGAATATAAATATTATATCATCTATATATCTGATTCCTATTATCATATATTTGGCCAAGTTAGGTTATATAATAAAATATCTTTATATGTCTTGTTAAATAAAGCAATTTATCCAGAACAAGAATCATCATCCATCTGGTTTTACCGCCATTATACTTTCAGAAGAGTCAAGCGAGCCTCTTTTGTAGAATATGTCGGATAGAATGAATATATTGTAACAGTTAATCCCTCAGAGGTAAGAATAAGAAGAGAGGAAGACTGGTTAGTTTTTACACCGCCATATTTTGTTTCTATTTTCCGTGTGTGACTTACTCTGACCGAGGCTGAGTCAAGCGAGCGTCTATAACACAACTCTGAAAATATTGAAAGAAAAATTGTGCCTACTGCTTTATTTTTCTAATTGTTGATGTAAACAATTCCCCATCTGTTTGTTTGACATCACTAGAGGTTCATAGCAGGCTGGGGGATTACCTCAACAAGAAAAGACCTAACGTGACATCTTGATCTGCCCATTACACCTCCAGTTGTTACTCCAAGATCCATCTATTCCTTGACTGCGGGAACTGAGGAGGAGAAAGCGACGCTACTCTTACCTTGAGTTGTCTTACGAAACTTGGTGGTCGTGAAGGCTAGTTAATGAAGGAAGAGAGAAGAAAAAATAGGCAGGAGGAGATTTTAACTTAGCGAGCGTGATGAGAGTGTAGGGGGGGGGTGTCTTACCTCACTAGGGGATAACCTTCTGCTTTGCCTCCTCCCTCCGTCCGTGTTTCCGTCCCTTCCTCCGTCCCTACTACTGTCTGTCTCCCCGTCTCTCCCTCCCTTCGCCCCTCCGTCCGCCCTGGGTACTGAAGGGAGGAAGTGGCCGCCCAAATGACAGATGTCGCCTTGTGTGCTCCAAACTTGTGTTCCGTGTTCCTCCCTCCTGTTCCGTACCTTGTGTTCCGTGTTTCTCCCTCTGTGTGGTGCAGTAGTGACTGGGATCACCTGTCGAGGAACACACCTGAATACACCAATGTTTAATGATCCTCTTGAATGTTAATGTAATGGTGAATCAAGTTTGTTAATGAACTCTCTCTCTCTCTCTCTCTCTCTCATTACTATTGAGCTGGGAAAAAAATCCTCCTGGCGTCAAATAATAACCGGATTGGCTGCTTCAGATCAGGCAGGAACAGGAATCTTCTCCCGACAGCGTATGTGAAGGTATCCGGTGTCGTTGTTTCTCCTGGGATTAAAACTGACGTCGAAATATTTTTACCCTATAACATATGTGAAGATATCGATTGTTGTTATCTCTCCTGGGATTAAAACTGACGTATATATAATATTTCCCCCGATAGTATGTATGAAGGTATCTAGTAAAATTGTTTCTCCTGGGATTAAATAAATGTTTTGCCCTATAGTGTATGTGAAGAGGCCCTGTGTTGTCATTCCTGGGATTAAAATGGTGACCTCGGACCAGGGGCGTCACATCAGCTGATTACTGTTGGTAAACAAAAAATGCGCGCGCAAAATCCTCGACATTCAGGCGTGACGGAACTATATGCAGAATATCCTTAGGTTAAAATTGGTGTAAGGTTGAAGTAGAGAGTCTCTCTTGTGAGTAGAGAGAGAGAGAGTATGAGAAAGAGAAAGACGGTCAGAGGGAAAGAAAAAGACAGAACAGAGAGAGAGGGAGAGTGTAACAGAGAAAGAGAGTAGAGAGGGAGAGAGTAACAGAGAAAGAAAGTAGATAGGGAGAGAGTAACAAAGAGAGGGAGAGAGGGGAAGAAAGTAAAAGAGAGAGAGGGAGAAAGTAACAGAGAGAGAGTAACAGACAGAGAGAGAGAGAGATGTAGCAAGCACTGCAATGGGGTAAAAAGAGCCACCTTGAACGTGTAGCGCCTCACCTCGCCGGCCGGAAGACACCAGTGATGAAGGTCTTAACACGAGTGAACACCTTCCCTCACTGCTCCTGATAGATAGTTAGTCTCCACCCCAGCAGCTTATTTCACCTGAAGATTAACCACCCTAATGCTACCCTACCCTACCCTTTTGTTGATCAGATACTTACATACATACATACATACATACATACATACATACATACATACATACATACATACATAGGATCACCTTAACCACCCTAACGCTACCCTACCGCTTGTGGGTTGGTCGGTAAGGTACTCCATTCAATAACTGCGGTACACTGGTTCGAGGTGGATGGTAATTATTTTTTTTTTTTTAGAATTAGATTTGTTTTTAGTCGATTGGATATTTTTGTTGATTGATTTTGGGGATCTGTCTGTCTGTCTGTCTGTCTGTCTCCCTCCCTCTGTCTGTCTGTCTATCTCTCTCTGTCTGTCTGTCTGTCTGTCTATTATTATTATTATTCCTTCTTAAATTCTTTCCTCTCTCCCCAATCTCCTCCTCATGTTCCTCTTCCTCGTTCTTCTCCTGTCAGTCTACACGCAGTCAGTCATAAGTCACGATCAACAGA